GAGGTGGAGGTTGCAGTGAGCTGAGATCATGCCACTGTACTCCAACCTAGGCTACAGAGTGAGACTCCATCTCAAAAAAAAAAAAAAAAAAAGAAAAAGAAAGAAAGAAAGAAAACCCATGCAGAACATGAAAACTCCACACAGACAGTGGCTCAGGTTGGGAACTGATTTTTGTTTTCATTAAGGTGATAACAACATGACATCAAACAAAATGATGTTATTCCAGCACCTAATGTGAAACTGAAAGTCTTGGCCACCCCGGATCCTTGAGATCAGCAGCTGGAGATCTGGGGATGTAGTTCAGAATTCCAGTATCAGCTCCCAACAGGGAGCTCCTGCCCTGCTCAGTCAATGACAGGAGCAGTCCGGGGACAGCATGGCACCAGCTGGAATACTGAAGTAGATCCCAGAGATCTTCAGCAGGAGCCTGTCAGCCGACTGCACTCCTCACACAGACCCTCTCCTGAAGGGCGTCTCAGAGGCACCTATGGCTACCACACTCCTTTTGGTCAAAGCACAGCTTCCTGAGTTGTAGCACTTAGCTTACGCTGTGTAATAGCACCAGTGTAAAACAGTGGCTTTAAAAAATTTTATATATTAATTTTATATGTTTTACATAATAAAAGTGTTTTCCAAGTATTGGAGAGTTGGCTCTGCCAGCTCTGCTGATCTCAGATTTGCTCACATGGAGTCAGGTGGTTGTCATCTAATCTAGCCTGGCCTCCACTGGAGCAACAAGAATGTGGTAGCCAGCATCCCTCATCCTCCAGCAGGCTAGCCTGGACTTGCCCTTCTCTCAGCACTGTTAGAAGCACACGAGGAAGCAAATGAAGACAAACAAGGCCTCTTGAGGCTTACACTTAGAACTGGTATGCCTTCACTGCTGTCTCCTTACATTGGCTGAAAGAGGTCACATGGTTGGAGGCACTGCAGAGTTAACACAGCAATGCACATGGACACAGGGAAGGGTGAAGGATTGGAGTCATCTTTGCAAACAAGCATGGGACCAAGTGGATCATAAAGGATTTGTTTTCTTTTTCCCTAAGCATCATTGCTGATGTTGGGGTTATCAGTAATAAACTGAGAGTGTTACAATCTCACCAATGCACCACAATGTAGCTGTCTCTCATTGCCCAAGGTATCACCTAAAGTTCTTTGTCTCACAACCAAGAAAATTAAGGAGCATGGACCCCCAAAGACGAGGCTGCAGCAAACGTTTAAAAAGCAAAAAAAAAAAAAAAGCTCTCCACTGCCAACAGGGGGCCCAAAAGATGGTTGTCATTTCACAGTTGAATATAGAGGCTTTTATAAGAAAATGATGAGAGCTGGGCATCTCATTTGCATAAGGCATGAATTTCTGGTAGTTCCACCCTGTCCTCCAGCGTACATGCAGGCTCTTAGCTTGAGTTACTCCATGTGGCTTTGTTCCCCTTACTGCCCACATCTGAGGAGATAGAATTTTCCATTGTGAGCATGTTTGGGAATGTCTCTTATGTAGCCTTTCTTATGGATGCAGCTGTGAACATGCCTAAGGCAAGCCCCCCATGCAAGTTATCTTATCTGTGCCTGCAGTTTGATTTTTCAAGCTGTTCTTTTGTTTGAAAGAATTTTACCAAGGACCCACCCTAACGGCCTGCCTTTCTTCATCCTCTCTCATTCCCCACTTCAGGAGTGGAGACCCCAACTGCTGTTGGGGAAAGTGGATGATGACCGTTCCTGGCTGCTTCCTGCTGGAAGGGGGCGTCGTTGGGGTTACAGCAGTTAGGGCTCCTCCTAAGATCGGTCTAAGGGTCCCTGGAAAAATGGTGTGTCTATGCATCGTTCCATCTGTAGCACCATTTGGTCTTTAATAGCCTCTAAGTGAGAGGAAACAGTTTGAGTTACAGTATTAAATATGCAAAGTCCAAACATTCATACAAAACACACAAGCAAAATGGGGCCTAATAAAGGAGCTAACCAGTTCCACAAAGAAGAATGGAATCCATTAAGGAGGGAATTATAGCCAACTGGGACTGGAGCCTACATTTTCTCTTAATCTGTCAATGATTCTAATTTGATCTTTAAGCACCTGTAGGGTCTCTTCTACTTGACTAGAGGTATTGATCTGGAAGTGACATGTTACTTTTAAAAAGTGCACAGGTTCCCCCTACTTTGGCCATAAGGATATCTAAGGCCTGTCTATTTTGCATAACTACTGAGGCTAAAGAGATTTTGGATTATTGTTGTGTTTCTATGGCTCCTACTGTTGCCTTCTACTCTAGTTGCATCATAATAGAAATATTAAGTACTGATCTTTCAAGGAGAGGAATACCAGCAAACCAGAATAGGCTTCTAGCTATAAAATCCCCTATCCATGGTTTTTCTAAGATAGGACTGTCATGTGCACGTCCTACCCAATCTTCTCCTTCAGTTAAATCTCCATACAAGGGCATGGAAATGACAGACCTCTTTGTTTGGCACATCTGAAATTGCACATTCGCTAGAAAAAGGGATAGGTTAGGGATGTCCCCAGATGATGCTGCCATATCAGTGGAATTTAAAAATAATAAGTCAAGGACCACTGCCACAATAGTGCAGGTTTCCTTTCAGTGCCTATGGTGGATGAAGTGTAGCCAGGAGCCACAAAGGATATAAAACTCTGTCCCTTGAATGCCCAGTTCTAAGTTGTAGCTTGTGAGAGACTCAGGCAGATATTTCTCATATCTTAGGAGCTTCCCCCTCTTACATATAATAGGAACATCTTTGGCATAGGGATATCCATACTCAGGATAGTCACTCATGATACCATGTGGAATTTTACATGCTAAATGAGAAGGGTCCACTTGACAAATGGAGTTTTGAAAGACCAGGGACACAATATGTCCCAACCAATATCTCGGATAAGCCTTGTGGCAGGGACTCTCAGGCCAGAAGTCTCCTGTACACTCACAGATTTGTAGGCCACTACTACTAACCATCATACAAAAGGGTCTGGAATTCCATGAGGATGCATGTCTGGGAACCCCATGTGTTATTTTTTACATTATAATGCCATGTGTCAGGACAGTTAACCAGAGCCTGCCATTCCCAACAGGACTTCCTACCAGAAGAGGCTAGATTCCGAAAGCCTACCCATATGGCTTCCAATTTTCTTAGATCATCTTTATTGTGTCTTTTTCTCCAAGTGTCTGACCTTTCAGCAATGACAAGTGTGTTGTTACATATCTGAGATCTCCTAGCTATGATCTTTTCCCTCTGCTTTTAAAGCAGGAAGAGGCATTTGCTATTAACCTGCCAACTTTTCCTACCCTGAGGGTGTGAAGCTTATCTTTAGGGAAAGTGTTTTCTGGTACCAGGGAGGAAATGCTTTCCTGGGAGGAGTTAGCTACCCACTTGAAAGTGCTCCCATACCATGTTCCATTCATGCCTGACAAGTTTTCAATGGTTAAAGGTAAATCTAAGAAAGGGAATCTTTCTTAGAAAGAGACGGGAGAGCCTTCACCAGTAAGAACCAGGTCATGAAGAGGTCCCTTAGTGTTACTGAACTGAGCAAACCACTCAGGTCAGACTCAGCAATTAGTCTCATATAAATGGGCCATGGCTGATACTGCAGAGGCTAAAGGGTGTGATGTATTCCCAAACCCCATTAAAAGCCGTAGCAGACTCAGCAATAGTAACACTTTCATGTTTACTTTTTGTCTGTGGCTATTATCCCTGCTATAAGGATAATAACTTAACCAAGCATCACAGCAATTGAGACTCTCTGTCCAATATTCCAGTCAGGAGGTGCTACAGTCAGGATTCAGAATCCAGTCAGGATTCCTACAGGAGGTACAGTGTGTAGCCCTACTACAAAAAGTAAAGTCAGCAAAATAATCCCTGCAAGTATGGTGTGGTGAACGATTTCCATCTGAGGTTTTATCAGTTAAAATGCTGAACCTCCCTTTGCAGGTCTGTAAAGTTACAGATCTGATCCCACGGACAATCAAAGTCTCCTCGCAAATATGCGTGAAAAAGAAGTCGCAACACTTGACAATGGTATATCTTGAAGGGAAGGGTGGAAATAATGGAAGGAATCTGGCAGAGTAAAGGTAGGACCGAGCTAGACAGGTCGTCTTCATTCATTTACTTATCTTTTGTTCTTTTCAGTTTAAGGTCCCCAACTTCTTCACGTCAGTATCTGGGATGCTCTTCTGGGCTGTCAGGGGCTGCTGCCTCTGTTTTCCAAGCCTGGCTGAAGTGTGATAAATCCAAGAGTTGATTCCTCCAACTTTCACAGCTGAATGGGTGGAAACAGTATAGGTCCCTCCCACCTGGAGCCTAGAGAAGAGGAAAGAGAAGGGAGAGCCTTCACCAGTACTAAGTCTCCCAGGTTCAATAACGGTTGTCCTATTTCTTGGGGTTGGGCTTCCAGTTGCTGTTTTAATTCCCATTGGCAGTGGCCCAGGGAGGTTATATATTCAACTAATTCAGAGATTTCCTGGTCTAGTAAAAGATCATCGATAAGGGAAGGCCACCCATTCATAATTTCAAAAGGGCTCGGATCCAACTTTGAAGGAGTGTTTCTTATCCTCAGTAGAGCTAAGGGGAGAGTCACCCAAGAAAGGTGAATCTCCTGAGAGAGAATTTTCTGAGGTATCTTTTGATAATATCATTTGTTTTCTCTACCTTTCCTGAATATTGTGGTCTCCAGGCACAATGAAGATGGTGCTATATGCCTAGTGCCTTTTGAGCCCCACTGGATAGAGGCTGCTTTAAATGAGGAGCCACTGTCACTTTGGAAGTACTTAGGGAGCCCAAAGAGAGAAATTATTTATTAGTATTCTCACCTCCTCAGAGGTCTTTTCTGTTTGGCATGGGAATGCCTCTACCCAGTTAATGAAGGTATCCACCCACACCAAAAAATATTGAATGCCATTTATTTTAGGCATATGGGTGAAGTCTATCTGCCAGTCCTCCCCTGGGTAACTTCCCATCCTTTGAGTGTGGCAGGGAAGAAGCCATCTGTTAAGGGGATTATTTTTAAGATGGGTTTCACAAGCATTAATGACCTATTTGACCATTTTCAGTAGAGTGTTCCCTAGAGGTTTGTTTCTCAGGGTTGGGAGAATTATCCTCTGTGAACTTGCCTGATGTAACTGCTAGGGGAGCAGAGTCAATTCTACAACACTGACAAAGATCTGAGTTGTCTTGCAAGGCAAAGAAGGCTTGCACATAAGGTACCTCAGACCATTTGCCCTCCTATCTGTGGAAAAGATCTAGTTGTTGAATGGTATTAAAATTAACACTTCCCTCAGAAGGCCAGGCCTCCCCATCCTGCAGCTGGTAAGATGGCCATGCCCGAGTGCAAAAGAATGCAAGGTACTCTTTTTTCAGAGTCTGAATGTCAAAGGAGTTCCAGTGTTTCAGAATGCACTTGAGAAGAGATGGCTGGAGATGATTTGTTAAGCATCTAGAAAAAGAGGAGAGAAAAGGTATCCTGTAGTCTCCTTTGTCCTTCTGGAGTAATCCTGGGCAGAGAGAAGACAGAAGGGGCATTCCCGCTTCTCCTCTTCCCCACCATTTCCTCAGGTTCCTGGTGACCATTATAGGTGCCGCCCAAGGATGCAAGTATGACCTTCACCCATGAATATGGAGGAGCTAGCTTGTGCTCACCTGCACAAGGCTCTAGCTCTCCACCCTGCTGGTTTCCTAGACCTACTTGGCCCATAAGGCTCCCAAGATTCCCCAGTGCCCTGGAAGAGATTGTTCAGTAGTTGAATTTGGGCAAGACCCTTTAAGGAAGGGAGCATCTTAACTTTATCCTTACATCCTCTTACTACCACCCAGGCAAAGTTATGAATTCCTAGAGAATGAGACGGATTGACTTCTAAACATAAGATCCCTTTCTCACTTAGATGCCAATGTAGCTGGATGCAGGACAGATGCCCCAAAAGAATGTAAAAACTGAATGGCTGTTTTCCCTCTGATGGGGATAACACTGAGGCTAAATTCTGTCTTGCTAGGTTGGCTTTCTCTCGGCTGTTGAAAGGGGAGTTTTTCTGCTTACAAATAGAGCATGGGGACTGATCACTGAGAGAGGGACGTAAGAGGGAAAGGAATAGGGGAAACAGGATTTGGGGCAAAGGGCCAACAAGGTTTCTCACAGAGAAAAATCCCATCCCACTAGGTGGCACTGTAGGCTTTGAAATACTAGGAAAAAGCTCTGACTCCAAATTCTTTCCAAGCAAAGGTTAGAAAGAGAGGTTTACACACTGGGGTCCGTTGAGGGGAAATGGGGGAAGGACGGGGGGGTGGTGGGGAGGTGGGAAGAGATAGCATGGGGAGAAATGACAGATACAGGTGAGGGGAAGGAAGGCAGCAAACCACACTGCCATGTGTGTACCTATGCAACAATCTTGCATGTCCTTCACATGTACCCCAAAACCTAAAATGCAATAAAAAAAAAAAAAAGAAAGAAAAGAAAGAGAGGTTTGGGGCTTCATAGGCTATTCCCATAATATGCCGCCCAGCAGAAAAAGACTAGTTTGTCTCATGAAGGGATTGCTTAAAGTCACTGGGCAATGCTGAGATCTTACATGAAGGAAAAAACAACCCAATGAAGAAAAAGGTATTTGCTTAGGGTGAAATATCCCCCTATACAGCGCCGTGAATGTCTATCATTGTGCAACAGAAAAGGCCCTTACTAAGTGGAAGTTTAGGCTGAAATCTTGAAGTCCCCCTGTCTCAAGGAAATCACAAAAACAACAATTCTTTGAGATACACTCCTCATTACTAAGACACTTGCTGACTTCACTTAACAGGATTATCTCCTAGTCTGTAAAAATACCCACAACATTGCATACAAATGAGAAATAGGAGAAATAGTAGCCACAAAAAGGAAGTAAATGCAATAGAAAAGTCTGGAAGTCCTGGTGCTGACACCCTGATGGGCTGTTGGGGGCTGGAGTTAGTCCAGAGGTCTTCAGGTAACACCGAGGAGAATCCTCAAACAGAAATCTTCAGTTGCCCTAGGACCTCCTTCTAGTCTATGTGACAGCTGGTCCTCTGTGAAAGGATACTGGATTGCAACAGTGCCAACATTCCCAACACCTGAGGATGAAGGGGGACTGACAAAGTCCTCTCCAGCAAGCCTGTCCCCTGAGTCTCGTAAGATTGGCAGCCACTCCAAAAACTTTTAAGTGGCTCATGGAGTCCAGTGTTTTGTTCAGTCTTGAGGAAAAAAATCTGAGGACAAGAAGGCTCTGAAAGCAAAGTAAAGACTTTGGAGGTCCGCTCCTACTCACCCTTCCAACGTTTCCTGGCCAATGTGCTACAATGTAGCAGTCTCTTGTTGCTCAAGGTATCATCTGACATTCTTTGTCTCATGACTAGGAAAATTAAGGAGCATGGACCCCCAAGGGTGAAGCTGGAGTGAAAGCTTAATAAGAGAAAAGAAGAAAGCTCCCTGCTGCAGAGAGTGGGCCCAAAAGAGGGTTGCCATTTCAAAGCTAAATGCAAAGGCATAAGGTACAAATTTCTGGTGGCTCCACCCCATCCTCCTAGTGCATGTGCATGCAAGCCCTTAGCTTGAGTTACTCCACGTGGCTTTGTTCCCCTTACTGTGTATGTGTCAGGGGATGGAATTTTCAATTGTGGGCACATCTAGACAAGTCTCCTGTGGAGACTTTTTTATCTATGTGGCTGTAGGCATGGTTTAGGGAAGCCCCCCTGTGCAAGTTCCCTTATCTGCAGTTTGATTTTTTAGCCTGTTCTTTTGTTTGAAAGAATTTTACTGAGGGCCCACTCTAACTGCCTTCCTGACCAGTTTCTTCCTTCCTCCTCTCTCAATAGCACCTGAATATCAGAGCCAGGGAAAGGCAAGAAATATGACAACAGTCATGAATATCACAAGGAGCATTTGAAAACCACTTTTTATCCAGTTTTCTCACTGGCCTAGATCGAATCAGAATAAGTCCCAGGAATCTAAATGGCCAACTTTAGATAAAGAGCCTTTTTTCCTAATTGATTATTCCACTTCTCCTAACAAATTTATAATGACATGTACTTGCTGTTGTGCAGATTTTGCCTCAACAGGCCCATAAATAATTGAGGGCCCTTTTACTACCTAAAACTATTTTAACCAACACATTTGCATAGGTCTCTTGGGCCTCTAAAGCTTGAGCTGTTTTATTTACTATTTGGGCCATATTCAGGGATAAAAATGTTTAGAAACATGTTTTAGTTTAGAAATACATAGTGTGGGTTAGAAATTCTTAGTCAAACCCGTAAAATCTGGTGGTAAGTTATTGAACAGCTAAAATATGAGGAATTCCCCTCTCTGAGCCATAGTTTCTAAATGTGTGAGAAAAACAAACAGTCCACACATAGTTCAGGGCCTGGTCTGAACACTAAGGTCTGGTTCATTCACAGAGATATATACTTGTTTAGTATGGAGAAACGGAGGGAGGCTTTACAACACATCACCCCAGAGTCACAAACCACCACACAGAGGTCAGATGACTAAGTTCTTCCCCAGCATATCATCAGAAAAAGCCACACACCACAAACACCCAGCAACACCAACAATCCCTCCACATCCATCCTGAGAACCCCAACACCACCCAATGGCCATGATCCCTCAACTCCTGGAGCCAACCCCAAGACACAGTGCTGAACTTTGTTTTGGAGCCCCTTACCTTTTACCAAGGAATGAAAATTAATAAAATCAGTACACCACCAATGAATAACCAAATCCACCGATCAATGGCAAAGACAGCTGTCGCCTCAGATTCTGCAGAGAGAGAAGGAAAACATTAACAGGAAACCTATTAGTAAGGGCCAGAGAAACCACACAACTGCTGCTTGGGATCTGGGTGCTTGTGTCATTTTCCTTGTCAGAGATTTAACCACCAGCCCTCTGCCACATGTCTCTGCGTCTCCATTCCTATCACATACACCTCCACACATCCAACAGTGTATGTAGTGCTTGTCAAAAACATGGAAAATGAACACCACATGCCACATACGTGTGCCACTCTCATCTTCAAACCTTCTGTACTACAACATCATCTTCTACCCCTAAGTGCATACCACCCAGACAGCCCCTCATACCACACATACAAGGTATGTTTCCATTTCATACTCCCCATGGCCACACAAACCGTCCCTGCAGCTCTGTACATGCTACCCTAGTCCTTACTTCCAAGAATAATTCCTCTCTCCCTGAGGACCATCCCAGGCTCTATCTGGCATACCCTGACCACATTCCTCAGGAACCCCAGTCACTCCCTGCCTTCTTTACCCCTCTCAACCCCAGGTAGATGCATTTTACCAGCAGGGCCACCCTACCCAAGACCAAAGCTATGACCTGAAAAAGCCCCACCCCACCAGCAGGAGTGGGTCTGCTGTGAGCTGTGTTGTCCTAAGGATCCAGCGTGCCTGGGGAAGGCACTGAGCATTTGCAAAACCACTGTACCGTAGCTTCCCCATCCTGGGACAGAGCCCATAAGACAAGACTACTGATTCAGCCTCTACCAGCCAACAGTTTACAGTAGACCTAGAGCCTGACTAGAAGGGCTGCTGGCAGGTTTCCTATTTCAAGCCATATGGATCATCCAGAACCCTGAAGCTTCCATGAGCTGACAAGTAGGCCCTGCTCCACCTGATGACTGTGGTCACCACTCTCCACCTACTAGACCATCATCTGCCCTGGTGCAGGGACCTAGGCTGGACTGCTGACTCTGGGGCTGAGCTAGGCCAGACCCTATCTTGGTCCTTCCAGTCCAAGCTTTCTCTCCTTCCCCTTCAGTCCCTAGCTAAGACCCTGGGCTGGTGTGGGAACAAGTCTTATGTTATAGTCCCTCAAGGCAAGGAAGAGAAGAAATGTCCAGAAAGACCCTTACTAGAAGATCTCTGCCAAGAAGTCAGGGTAAAGTTGCTCCTCCAGGGGGTATTCAAGGACATGTGCTGTACCACACACTGGTAGACAGTTCCAGGGTCTTCCTGAGAGGAGTTCAGCTTCAATTTGCTGGTGGCACTAAATGTACCATCTGCATTCTTGTTGGTGGGACCAGGGTTGACATCCTCCAAAATCTCTACATGATGGGGAACATTGTGGGTCCACTTCTCCCATGTTATATTAATAGCTTCTGGGTAGAACCCACTTGCCTCACACGTAATATTTTTGCCTTCATTCTCTTTCACCGTCCCTTGATGCAGTAACAATCTGCAGGCTGGGGAAGCTGCCAGGGGAAAGAAAAAAAATCATACAGAGTTGGGCCCAGCACCAAACTACCCTTTTATCCCCCCAACACCTTATACTAAGTGGCTTCTACCATACCCCCACACCTGTGTAGCACTGCTCCTATAGCCAGACAAGACAAAAAACACAGGATGCCTACTCTCTTTAAAGATGGGGACCCTGAGGCATGAGTGATGCTGCAGCCATGTCCAGCAATGAGCTGGAGATTTACAAAACCAGACTGGGCACTCCTTAAGGGTAGGGAGGTTCTAGCTTATTATCAGCCTGACATCTAACCCATGGCAAATCTTCAGGACACATGGTTGATGGAATGCGAGTCTGCTTGGGCTAAATATTCTGGGTGTGTCGGTGCCAGTGCCAACCAGGTGTTGACATGCTGTGACCCCAACTGTCAAAGCAATTTTGTAAAGCACAGTTTTCTTAAGCTATGTTGTGCCACAGACACCTTTCATAATCTGAGGAAAGCCTTGGAGCACTGTTGTGGTAGAGATTGCTAATTGCTCTTCAATTTCCATTCTATGGATTTTTAGCACATGACACATGTGGACATGACACAACCAGATTAAAGCTGCATCACCCAACCTCCTCTACAGGTAGGTTTGACCATGCAAACTCAGGGTCTAGCAGGTCTGGATTTAAGCAAAAGTGGCAAGAGCAACTTCTAGGAAGTATCCTTAAGTTAAAAGGATGTCTTAAAGGACTGTCTCCTTTTCTCTCTCTCTCTCCTTCATATTTCCTGCAGAATGTTTGGAATACTATGTGACGACCAGAGACGGAGAAGCCATTTCCAAACGCAAGGTGGATGATACAGATTGAAGATGGCACAGTTACAAGACAAAAGGATCCTGGGGCCTGTATAATCACAGAGGAGCTGCCATTTCTGCCCTGGGCTGGCTACATTAGTGTGAAAAGAAAAATAAACTGCTATTTCAAAAGCCGCTATTGACTTCCAATTTTCCCTCTGACATATAAAGACCTGAGAGGTCATCACTCCCATCTTCATAATCAGAACAAAAGCTGAACAAACGGAAAATCAACAACTTTTCTTAGATCCCTCAGAGAATTGAAGTGACAGGGCAAACCACCACTCAAAAAACTGGAGAAAGAAGGAGATTCAGAAAATTATAACTAAGATCAAATTACCTCATGCTGCTGGAGTCATAAACTGGTAGGAGTACTTAAGCAGTAGCTCTGACAAATTGCTAAAGGATGAGTGTGGACTAGCTTGAGAATAAAAACCTCCTCAGGTCCTGGTCTTAGGGATGGTACCATACTTTCATGGGTTTTCATCCTCAGGACCCAGTCTTGAGGATGCTACTATAGTGTCATGAGGTTTACTTCCAGGAACCCCACCAGATTCTTACAGTAAAGATGCAAGAAAAATCTTCTCCTCTTTCTGGGGGATGGAAAGAAGTAATCATTTTTAAATATACCCAGATTATTCCTTCCATCTCAAGGGAAGATGTCAGAGCCTTATCTGACCTGGGAAAAGAAAATTAGACAACTCCAGCTATCTATAGCCTTTCTGTATCACTTAAGAAGACAGAAAAAGAAAAAGCTAAGAAATACTTCTTAAGGTCACAGCCCAGAGGCTCAGGCCACTAAAAGAATAAGATTTAATCATAAAAGTATAGACTGATTCTCCTCCAACACTTTACCATAACATCAACAGGGCTCCAACATAATAACAGAAGATTATAAGTGAGAGAGCTACAAGGCACAGACCCTATTTAAGGAGTTCAAAAGAAAATTCACAGACAACAGAAAAGGAGATAAACCACTAGAGGAAACTGAAATTTCTGGCACCTATAGCTACAATAAGCATTAAACACAACCCAGCTCCTAGCCAAATCAACAGAAAGCCTCATAATAAAAGCCCATTTGGCTCAGTTCCTATTACCTGATACATAATATCTATCTTTCAACTGAAAAATTACAAGACATGCTAAAAAGTACATGAAAAGAAAGCAAGTATCAGACCCAGACTGAGGTATGACACAGATTTTATAATTATCATAGAGGGAATTTTTTAAAACTATAATTCAAATGTTAAGAGCACTAACAGGAAGAGCAGATAACATGCACAAACAGATGGGTAACATAAGCAGAGAGATGGAAACACTAAGAAAGAATCAAAAGTGAACGCTGGAACTCAAAATACCGTAAAAGAAATGAAGAATGCTTTCAATGGATTCATCAGTAAACCTGAAACTGACAAGAAAAGAATCAGTGAGCTTGAAGATGTTAATAGAAACCTCCCAATCTGGGAAGAGTGTGGTGGCTCATGCCTGTAATCCCAGCACTTTGGGAGGCCAAGGTGAGCGGATCACTTGAGGTCAAGAGATGGAGATGACCCTGGCCAACATGGCAAAACCCTGTCTCAACTAAAAAAACAAAAATTAGCCAGGCGTGGTAGCACATGCCTGTAGCCCCAGCTACTCAGGAGGTGGAGGCACAAGCATCGCTTGAATCTGGGAAGCAGAGGTTGCAGTGAGTGAAGATCCCACCATTGCACTCCAGCCTGGAAGACAGAGTGAGACTCTGTCACAAAAATAAATAAATAAGTAAATAAATAAATTTAAAAAAAGAAACTTCCCAAACTGCAATACAAGGAGAAACAAGAATTTAAAAAAACAGAGTATTGGCCGGGCACGGTGGCTCAAGCCTGTAATCCCAGCACTTTGGGAGGCCGAGGCGGGTGGATCACAAGGTCGAGAGATCGAGACCAACCTGGTCAACATGGTGAAACCCCGTCTCTACTAAAAATACAAAAAATTAGCTGGGCATGGTGGCGCGTGCCTATAATCCCAGCTACTCAGGAGGCTGAGGCAGGAGAATTGCCTGAACCCAGGAGGCGGAGGTTGCGGTGAGCCGAGATGGTGCCATTGCACTCCAGCCTGGGTAACAAGAGCGAAACTCCGGCTCCGAAAAAAAAAAAAAAAAAAAAAAAACAGAGTATCTAAGAACTGTGGGATACTGCAAAAGGTGTAGCATATATATATATAATGGGAATATAAGAAGAAGAAAAGAGAAAGGAGCCAAAGAAATACTTTGAAGAAATAATGGCTGAGAATTTTCCAAAAGTAATGATAGACACCAAACTACAGACCCAGGAAGCTTAGAGAACACCAGGCAGGAAGGATAAATATCCAAAAATCCACATCTAGGCATATCATATTTCAGTTTTAGAAAGTCAAAGATGCCCAAGCACGGTAGCTCACTCCTGTAATCCCAGAACTTTCAGAGGCCAAGGCAGGCAGACCACTTGAGCTCGGGAGTTCAAGACCAGCCTGGTCAAAATGGCGAAACACCATCTCTAATACAAAAATTAGCCATGAATGGTGGCACGTGCCTGTGGTCCCAGCGACTTGGGAGGCTGAGGTAGGAGGATCGCTTGAGTTTGAGCCCAGTAGGTTGAGGCTGTAGTGAGCTGTGATCACACCACTGTACTCCAGCCTGGGCAACAGAGCAAGATGAAGGGAAGGAAAGGAAAAGAAAAGGGAAAGGGAGGAAAGGGGAAGGGGAGAGAAAAGAGAGGGGAAGGGAAGGGAAAAAGAAATTGAGTCAATAACTAATTTTTTAAAAAAAAGAGCCGGGCATGGTGGCTTATGCCTGAAATCCCAGCACTTTGGGAGGCCAGGCAGATGGATCACAAAGACAGGAGTTTGAGACCAGCCTGGACAATATGGTGAAACCCCATCTCTACTAAAAATACAAAAATTAGCCAGGTGTGGTGGCAGACACCTGTAGTCCCAGTTACTTGGGAGGCTGAGGCAGAAGAATTGCTTGAATTGGGATGCCGAGGTTGTGGCGATCCAAGATCACGCCACTGCACTCCAGCCTGGGCAACAGGGCAAGATGTGTCCTCCCCACCCCCCCCAAAAAAAAGGAAAAGAAAAAAATCACTTTCAAAAAAAGAAAGCACCAGGGTTTGATGGTTTCACTGGTTAATCCTACTAAACAATTAAGAAATAAATAATGCCAGTTTTTTTTTTTTTTTTTTTTTTTTTTTTTTTTTTTTTTTTTTTTTTTGAGACGGAGTTTCGCTCTTGTTACCCAGGCTGGAGTGCAATGGCACGATCTCGGCTCACCGCAACCTCCGCCTCCTGGGTTCAGGCAATTCTCCTGCCTCAGCCTCCTGAGTAGCTGGGATTACAGGCACGCGCCACCATGCCCAGCTAATTTTTTGTATTTTTAGTAGAGACGGGGTTTCACCATGTTGACCAGGATGGTCTCGATCTCTCGACCTCGTGATCCACCCGCCTCGGCCTCCCAAAGTGCTGGGATTACAGGCTTGAGCCACCGCACCCGGCAATGCCAGTTTTTAATAATTTCTTCCAGAAAGTAGAAGTAGACAGAGGCGACACATTCTACCTTATTCTACCAGCCCAATATTACCCTACTGCCCAAACCACACAACACATTACAAGAAAATATAACTACAGACCAATACCACTTATTAAAATAAATATAAAATCCTCAAGAAAATATTAGCAAATCTAATCCAACAATGTATAAAAAAAATTATACACCATAACCAAGAGAGGCATATTATACATATGCAAGGCTGGTTCATCATTCAAAAATCAGTTAATGTAAGTCATCATATCAACAGGCTAAAGAAAAACCTACATGATCATATCAATAATGCAGAAAAAGTATCTGACAAAACCCAATACTTATTCATATGAAAAACTCTTAGCAATCTAGGAATAAAGGGAAACTTCCTCAACTTGTTTAAAGAATATTTACCAAAAAGTAGCTAACATCATACTTCATGGTTAAAAAGTAAAATCAGGAATGGGCAAGATGTTCCTTCTCACCACTCCTATTCAACATTGTAATGGAAGTCCAAGCTAGCATAACAAGGCAAGAAAAGGAAATAAAAGGTATAAGGTTTAGCACGGAAGAAACATGAGGCAGGCACAGTGGCTCACACAAAAATGGAATCCCAGCATTTTGGAAGGCCAAGGCGGGAGGATCACTCGAGCTCAGGAGTTCAAGACCAGCCTGGGCAACATAGTGAGACCTCATCTCAATAAAATAAAATAAAACAAAATAATGGAAGAAATAAAACTGTATTTTTCACAGACAGCATGATTTACATAGAAAAATTCCAAGACTTGTCCGAAAAAAAAAAAACCTCCTAGAATGAATAAGTGATTAAAGCAAGTTGCAGGATACAAAGTTAATATGCAAAAATCAGTTACCTGACAGGAATGAACAACTGGACAACTGGAATTTGAAATTAAAAATATACCATTGGCCAGGTGTGGTGGCTCACACCTGTAGTCCCGGCACTTTGGAAAGCGAGGCTGGTGGATCATTTGAGATCAGAAGTTTGAGACTAGCCTGGCCAACATGGTGTAACCTTGTCTCTACTAAAAATACAAAAATTAGCCAGGCGTGGTGGCACATGCCTGTAATCCCAGCTACCTGAAAGGCTGAGACAGGAAAATCACCTGAACCCAGGAGGTGGAGGTTGCAGTGAGCCAAGATAGCTCCACTACACTCCAGCCTGGGCAACACAGCAAGACTCTGTCAAAAAAACAAACAAAAAAGATGTCTATTTTTCCCAACTTGATCTATAGATTCAATGCAATCCCAACCAAAATCCCAGAGAGTTATTTTGCAAATATCAACAGATTCTCAAGTTTATATGGAAAGACAAAAAAAAAAAAAAAACCCAGAAAGCTAACACTATGCTGAAGAAAGGAAACAAAAATGAAGGACCAACAGTACCTGACTTCCTGACTTACTATTAAAATACAGTAATTAAGATAGTGTGGTACTGAGGAAAGAAGAGAGAGAGATCAATTAAACTGAATAGAACAGGGCATGGTGGCTCATGCCTATAATCCCAACACTTTGGAAAGCTGAGGCAGGTGAGATCATTTGAGCTCAGAAGTTCCTGACCAGCCTGGGCTACACAGTAAAACTACATCTCTACAAAAATTGACTGGGAATGGTGGTATGAGCCTGTAGTACGAGCTACTCAGGAGGCTGAGATGGCAGGATTGCATAAGCCCAAGAGGCAGAGGCTGCAGTGAGCCGAGATTGTGCCATTGCACCCTAGCCTGTATTAAAAGAAAAAAAAGAAACTGAATAGAAAGCCCAGAAACGGACCCATACAAAAATATTCAACTGATACTTTGACAAAGGAGCAAAGGCAATTCAATGAAGAAAGGACAGTTTTTTCAACAAATGATGCTGGAACAATTAGATGTTCATATCCAAAAAAATGCATATAGAATACAGACACAACCCTTACACTTTTCACAAAAATTAAAGCAAAATGCATAATAGACCTAAATGTCAATGGTAAAACTATAAACCTTCTAGACAGTAACACAGGAGAAAATCTAGGTAGCCTTGGGTTTGGTGGATGAGCTTTAGGATACAATGTTAAAAACGTGATCCGTGAAAGAAAAATGCAGTAAGTTTGACTTTATTAAAATTAAGAACTTTTGCTCTACAAAAGACGTTGTTAAGAGAATGAAAAGACAAGCCACAGACTGTGAGAAAATATTTGTGAAATATCTATCTGATAAAGGCTTGTATCCAGAATGTACAAAGGACTCTTAAAATGCAACAACTTAAAAAAATGAGCCTAGTTAAAAAAGGCAAAAGATCTGAACAAACATCTCATCAAAGAAGACATACAATTCCCAGAACTCTGGGAGGCAGAGACAGGCAAATCATTTGAGGCCAGGAGTTCAAGACCAGCCTGGGCAACATGGCAAACCCATCTCTACAAAAATTACAAAAATTAGCCAGACATGGTGATGTGCACCTGTAGCCCTAGCTACCTAGGAGGCTGAAGCCTGGGAGAATCACCTGAACCTGGGAAGTCGAGGCTGCAGTGACCTGTAATCGCACCACTGCACTCCCGCCTGACCAGCTAATAAACACACAAAAAAAGAAGACATATGAATGACAAATAATAATATGAAAATATGTCCAACATTATGTCATTAGGGAACTGCTAATTAAAACAACAAATGAAATACCACTATATACTTATTAGAATGGCAAAAATCCAGGCTGGACGTGGCGGCTCACGCCTGTAATCCCAGCACTTTGGGAGACTGAGGCGGGAAGATCACCTGAGGTCAGGACTTCAAGAACAGCCTGGCCAACATAGTGAAACTCCATCTCTACTAAAAATACAAAAATTAGCCGGGCATGGTGGCGGGTGCCTACAATCCCAGCTACTCAGGAGGCTGAGGCAGGAGACTCACTTGAACCTGGAAGGCAGATGTTGCAGTGAGCCAAAGTCATATCACTGCACTCTGTACTGGGCAACAGTGCAAGACTCCATCTCAAAAAAGATCTCCAAAAAACAAAAAAAAAAACAAAAAAAGGAATTGCCAGAAAGCACTGTAGTCTAATAGACAAAGTTGCTTCTTATGGAGGTACAGGTTAATAATTATACAATTAAATAAACAGAAGATGGTGGGTACAGGTTTCTCACTGTTGGAGTGGGAGTTCACAGATATACAGAGAAGGAGACTAGAATGATCCATGTGGTAATGGATTACAGTTGGAGACATCAGTAAGAACAAATGTTTAATTTAATATAGAAACAGATGGTTACACATAGAAATCTTCATAGATATGCGTATATGCAGAGGTTAGTACACATAGATATACTTTGCTCTGTCAGCTGAGATGGTCTAGAACCAATGATACCTCAGTAGCAAAAAGTACATCTAGTGTTCAGATCTTGGTTTCTAATATCATTTTCCAATAAAAGGAACCAAGGTTTCTTGGAGTATTGGTTGGTTCTAGGAAATACACAAGAAAGGAAATAATATGAGATGAATCTGTAACATTTTACAGTGCCAAAAAGTAAAAAGTGCTTAACATAAAACAAAATCCTTGACAGGGATTTGCCAAAAATTAAAAAAATAAAATAAAACAAAATTCTACAATGATTGGGTTATATTGATGGGGCACAAGAGTCAAGTGAATGAGTTCCCAGTGGCCAAAGCTGAAACAATTTGAGAAAAAAATAAAGAAGCATTTCATTATGACACAAAGTATAAAATAAATATCCTTGGGTCCTTATTGATATTAATGATTGAATAAATTCATAAATAGGAGAAAAGAGATAAATTTCCCATGCAGAAGAATTCTAAAAAAAAAAAAAAATTATGTAGATACTTCACCCCCAAGGAGGAAGAACATCAGTAACCCCCCGACCTTAAGTGTGAGCTGCACAGAATAACTTCATTTCAAAGAGTACAGTATGAAAATAGGGAGAAGGGTAACTTTTAAGAAGAGAAATCAAACAAATACTACTTCAACTAGTTGATCAAAATCAACATCTACAGTCATAGTCATGTGATTTGATGTGATGAAAATGGCAGTTTACCTCTGAGGTGTTCCTCCAAAAACCCGTAACCCCAAGTCCAATTACGAGGAAGAGAGCAGACAAATCCTAATTGAGTGACATCCTGCAATGGACCTGACCAGTAGCCTCACCAAACTGTCAAGGACATCAAAAGTAAGGTCTAAGGAACTGTCACAGCAAAAAGGTGCCTAAGAACATATAACAATTAAATGCAATGTGGTATTCTGATGGGATCCTGGAGCAGGAAAGGGACATTAGGAAAAACTAAGGAAATATGAATAAACTATGGACTTTATAGTAAAATGTCAACATGGGTTCATTAATTATATCAACGTACCATAAGAATGCAAGGGTATACAGAATGAGAGTGATATGAGAACTCTCATACTATCTTTGCAATGCTTCTGTAAATCTAAAACTGTCCTAAAAAAAATCTATTAATGTCTCTTAAAGTCACTGTTGGCCAGGCATGGTAGCTCACCCCTGTAAGGCCAGCACATTGAGAGGCCAGGGCAGGAGGATCTCTTGAGGCCAGGAGTTGAAGACCAGCCTGGACAACACAATAAGGCCCTATCTCTACAAAAAATGTAAAACTTAGCCAGGCATGGTGGCATGTACCCGAAGTCCTAGCTACTCAGGAGGCTGAGGCAGGAGGATCACCTGAGCCCGGGAGTTTGAGGTTACAGTGAGCTATGATTGTGCCATGCACTCCAGCCTGGGCAACAAAGCAAGACCCTGTCTCCTATGTGGACCCTTTCTATAGATACATAAAGTCTGGAATCACAGTGGTTATATATGTGGGCAACTGTCAGTTGGCCATATATATAGCCACTGTTGCTGTTATTCCTGTGTCAATTGCAGAGGAAATTAATCCGAATTAATATGCCTCTCACTCTCAAAATTCCTATGAACAAAACAATCAAAGTCTTATGCACAATTACGGAGGGCCCATGATGGGCTGCATTATGTCCTCCTCAAATTCTTATGTCCTCCCAGAATTCCCAGTTATCTGTGAATGTGACTGTATTTAGAGATAGGTTCTTTAAAGAGGTAATTAAGTTAAAATGGGGTTATTAGTGTGGGCTTTTATCTAATAGGATTGGCATCCTTATAAGAAGAGGAAATTAAGACACAGACATAGGCACAGAGGAAAGACCATGTGAAGACACAGGAAGAAGATGGCCAGAGGAGAGAGGCCTCAGAAGAAACCCACCCGGAAGTGTGAGAAAATAAACACCTGTTATTTAAAGCTACCCAGTCCTACTTTGGTATGGCAGCTTAGTAAACTAACACGGCCACCAAGCTCATCCATGTATTATCAGATCATTTTGTAATACAGCAAAGTGGAGCTCAAAGAGGTGTTTAGGTTTTGTTATTGCTAACCCCAACCATGGGAACTGTAGGGCACTGCCCTGAGGCACTCACCCACAACTCTAAGCCAGATCCTTCCGTGTGCCTTCTTAGGGGTGGACACCACCTCACATCGGTACTCTCCTGCTTCCTCCAGCTGGACTCCAGGCAGCTGCAGTGAAGCATCCCCACTCTTCAGCCTCCATGGAGACACAGTGGCTCCAGGCCGAAATGCCTTTAGGTGATCTCCAAAAAATTCAAATACCTTCAATTCTTTGTGAAATGTTGGACTCTTCCGAAACCAGGTGATACCTACACTCGTGATGTTGTGGGGTTCAGAATCAAAGAAATTGCAGAATATAGAGACATTGTCATTCCGGGATATGATCTGAGTCCCTCCTTCCATCATCTCCACTTTGAGTTCACCTATGGCAGTAAGAGAACACAATGTTCAGTTTTTCAGTTTATGAATATGTTTTTGGGATGTGCTATTGACTGAATGCTTATATCCTCCAAAATTTATATTGAGGCCCAACACCCCCACCCCATGTGATGGTATCTGAAAGCAGGGCCTTTGGGAAGTGATTAGGTCATAAGGGAAGAGTCCTCGTGAGAGGGATTAGTGCCCTTACAAGAAAAGACATGAGGGCCGGGCGTGGTGGCTCACACCTGTAATCCTAGCACTTTGGGAGGCCAAGGCAGGCAGATCATGAGGTAAGGAGATTGAGACCAGCCTGGCTAACATGATGAAACCCTGTCTCTACTAAAAATGCAATAAATTAGCTGGGTGTGGTGGTGGAGCCTGTAATCCCAACTATTTGGGAGGCTGAGGCAGGAGAATTGCTTGAACCCTGGAGCCAGAAGTTGCACTGAGCTGAGATCGCACCGCTGAACTCCAGCCTGGGCAACAGAGCAAGACTCTGTCTCAAGATTTAAAAAAAGTAAAGACAAGACAAGACATGAGGCTAGGCATGGTGGTTCACACCTGTAATCCCAGCACTTTGGGATTCTGAGGCGATCACCTGAGCCTAGCAGTTCCAGACCAGACTAGGCAATATAATGGGACCTCATCTCTATAAAAAATAAAAATAAATTAGCCCAGCATGGCGGTTAGGACCTATAGTCCCAGCTACTTGGGAGGCAGAGGTGGGAGGATCTCTTGTGACCAGAAGTTCAAGGATGCAGTCAGCCATGATAGTGCCACTGCACTCTAGCCTGGGTGACAGAGTGAGCCTCTGTCTCAAAAATAAATAAATAAATAAGAAAAGACATGACAGGCCACGTGTGGTAGCTCATGCCTATAATCCCAGCACTGTAATCCCTCCCACTACTTGGGAGACCAAGGCGGGTGGATCACCTGAGGTCGGGAGTTCGAGACCAGCCTGACCAACATGGAGAAACCCTGTCTCTACTAAAAGTACAAAATTAACGAGGCATGGTGGCGCATGCCTGTAATCCCAGCTACTTGGGAGGCTGAGGCAGGAGAATCACTTGAACCCAGAAGGCGGAGGTTGCAGTGAGCCAAGATTGCCCCATTGTACTCCAGCCCAGGCACAAGAGCAAAACTCCCATCTCAAAATAAAAAAGAAAGAAAGAAAGAAAGAAAGACAGACAGACATGACAGTTAGATACATGTCTCTCTCTACCATGTAAAGATACAGCAAGAAAGTATCCTTCTACAAACCAGAAATGAAGCTCTCACCAGAAACCAGATCATCCGCACTTTCATCTTGGACTTCCCAGCATCCAGAATCATGAGAAATAAATTTCTGTTTAAGCCACATAGTATATATTTGTTATGGCATCCTGGCAAGACTAAGACAGGACATTTTTTCCATTTCATTTATTTAGATCTTAAATTTCTTTCAGCACTATTTTACAGTTTTCAGAGTATATGTTTTCTATTTCTTTTGTTAAATTTACTTGAAGTATTTTACCCTTTTTGATGCTATTGTAAAGATAATTTTCTCTTTTTTTGTTGTTTTCCTATTTATTTATTTAGAGATAGGGTCTCGCTCTGTCACCCAGGCTGGAGTGCAGTGGTGCTATCACTGCTCACTGCAGCCTCTACTGCTTGGGCTCAAGTGATCCTCCCACCTCAGCCTCCCAAATAGCTGGGACTACAGGCATATGACACCATGCCCAGCTAATTTATTTATATTTTGTAGAGATGGAGTCTTACTAAGCTGCCAGGCTGGTCTCCAACTCCTGGGCTCAAGCAATACCCCCATGACCTTCTCAAGTGTTGAGATTATGGGTATGAGCCACTGTGACCAGCTAGATGTTTTCCATTTTAGAACAGTAGGTTGCTAGCAAGTTTACGCTTATACCCATTCCAACAAAAAGTGCAAGAACAGTTCAAAATGTTACATTTTCCGTTTCAAAGATGAGTACAACTTCAAAGAAGTCAGACTCAATATTAACAATGCAGAGCTAGACATCAATATTGAGATGAATGTCAGATATCTAATTCCCTTTGTTACCATCAAACACGTCCTTTCATTAGTCACATCCAACATATCTAAAGTTTTCAAAATTAATGTTAATTAATGTTAAAAACGTATCCAAAAACCTACCAACTTACTCAAACATTTGTGCAAGTCGATTTTTAAAAATCGACATTAGGGAAACATGGTGAAAAGCTTTATTATGTTCTATGTATCAAAGCAAAGACAGACTTGAACTACAAAATGAAGACAGGGTCAACTGTAACCAAAAAACATTATTCTTCCCCCGGGGGGCCAGCCAAGGAATGGAGGAGCCACGGATACAAGAGAAATAGCCAGGTCACCCAATTCTATTGTCACGCTTTTCAGTGAAAAGTGACTACTAAAAAAGAGAGAGAGAGAGGGAGAGAGAGAGAGAGAGAGAGAGAGAGAGAGGGGGAATGGGGAGGGGAGAGAGATGGGGAAAATATCAAAAACACTAACATGTGCTTAAAAAGAATACAAACCTGAGTGTTAGACTACATAAATTTTAAAAATTTAAATCAACAAATCAAAATTTAGAAGCCAAATTTGGGAAAAGTCATCTATTTTCAGAGTGCCCAAGAGCTCACCCAGGACCTCCATATATTCCCATTTCAAAGTACAGAGTTTAGTATCTTAATAACAGCTTAAAAGCGTTCGCCCTTTTCAAGGACTAAATCCTTGGAATTTTCTGCAGTCTTGTTTCCAAGGAAAAGCATTTATGCATTTATCTTTTCAAATAAACTAGTGGTTCAACCCACCTAGAGAATCTCCAATTCTAGAGCCCTCCAATCAGGGAGGACTGTTAACTATACCTTTACGGATTGCTCTTTTGAATTTTTTTTCTGAAATAAAACCTACATTCTTTCAAACATTTTCTATATCATCAACCTTTAAAGACAGTCTCATACAGAGGAGGGCTAGAATCTCATGCATTAAAATCTGACGAATTCCTTTGATTGGATTTTTTTTTTTTTTTTCTTGTATCACTTTAAATTTGCTTCCACACAGAATAGCAGCCAGGGAAGTAGAGGTTCCATTCTAAGGTGTAGAGATTTCTTGTAGACGGAAACGATTTTTGTTAGGCGAAAGCTTCTGACAGTTTTCAATGACAGGCTCTTCCAGTGCTAAAGTCAGGCACCAACGCCTGGTTCTGGGGTCCAATCCTCAAGCCGCCCCGCCGCCGCGGTTACCTTCCTCCCTGGAGCTGAGGCTGCTGCTGCTGCTGCCACGGCCACTGGGCGGCGGCGCGCCGCCAAACAGCGTTCCTTGCTCTACGCTTCCCCGAGGCCTCGCGGCCCTTCTCCACTACCGCCAGCATCCGCGGGGACCGGGGCAAGACGAAAGTGGCGGGGACCTGAGGCTCCTGAGGAGGTGGCAAGGGGCGCCGGGCCCGGGAGGGGACGCGGGGCGGGCGCGGCGGGAACCCCCGGGCGCGACTTCGAGGTGGGGAAAGCCCGCACCGGCAGAGCGCGCAGGCGCTTCCAGCCCCCGGCACCTAGCCGAGCGCAGCTTTGGCTTTCGTCTCGGCTCACACTTCACTCGGAACGGTCTTATTTTCACATTGCTCTTTGCAAACGTATAGAAATACTATCCACGCTTTTTTATTTCCATTTCCCTCTCCCATCAGGCAGCCGTTCTAAGGTGTTTAACGTGTACGTTTTTATCTTTAAGGTTTTATCTTTTGTTTTTCAAATCGTAGGAATGGTATTGAATTGTCTGTCCACTGTTTTCTCGGCTCTATGCCTTCAACAACCGTCCACCTGCTCTGCAAGCAGCAAGGGTGTGCTGTGAGGCTGCTGCCACGTGAAGTGCTCTCCAGCGTGAGGTCCACGCGTGGCTCGCCTCCACCTGCAGTGACGCAAGGCGCCCAGAGCGCTTCCGGGATTCCCACATTCCCCCCTCCACCAGCCGGCATCCAGGAGCCTATTTTTGGCCGGTCTAGTAAGGGTCAAGCCGCATCTTGTTTAATTGCCATTCTTCTAGATAGAAATGAGTTTAAATACCTCTACATACGCATTTCAACCTTTTAGTCTCCTGTTGAAGTTAACGTAGAGCATGTCCATACGAGTTCTCCAAAAAGTAAGACAACGTTTGCAGGTCACCACACCCCACTCCCTCTCTCTGTAAAGACCTTAGCAAAGCCAGGAGGACCCATTGATACGCGGGTGAGTGCTTTTCCTATTTTCCCTGTTCCCTGATTATCTTCTCTGTTCTGGTTCCCTCGGATGATGCAAGAGAGGCGCTCAATATCTCATCCTAGGAAGCAGTCTCCTCTCGCGCTGGTGCCGCCCCTGCACAGGGTAGGCCTTCAGTGTAGGCCTTCAGGGTAAACCTGTTGCGTCCGGGACTCCCCATCTCACAAAGGAGCGGCGCTGGAAAATAGAGCCCCCAGCCCCAGGAAGTCGCGGTCTCCTGGCGGGGCGCGAGGACCCTCTGGCGCCAGGTGCCTCCGCCCCACCCCAGCCGCCCCCTACACACGCCCCTACCTGCGGTAGTCAGCGCGCGCCCCAGGAGCAGGAGCGCCCCGCAGCAGCACGCGGAGGCTGCCGCAATTCCCGCCATCGTCTTGGTAGCCGCTCTGGAATTTTTTTCACCAGGTGGGAGCAGGCGGCCCGGAAGAATCCAAGGGCAGAGGGAGCCCTCTGTTGCGCAAAGAGTAGGCGGAATTTCTATCTGGCGCTTTTGCACACCCCACTTCTTCGGAACCCTTCGGCAACTGTGAAGTCGCCAGGATTTCGCGGGTGCGCACTGCAGGAATCCAGGCGTGTGACCAGCCCCGCCCACGCCGCACTTTGGCTCAGGGACGGGCACCGCCCGGGGAAACCACCCTCGCCCTCGCCGGCGGCTCGAGGCTGCGCGGTTACAGCCTCCGGGCCCCTCGCGAGCCGCTCTGCGGTCCAGCACTAGGGGCATCCTCCGAGTTCGGTTAGTAAAGTGAGGCCGGGATCCAAGTGGCCCCGGGCGCTACCCTAAGGAGGATGGTGACCGCAGTCAGTGAATGCGAGAGCAGGTGCACGTGCCCAGAACGACATCTTACCGTAGGCACGATAAACTTTAAAAACCAAAAACAACAACAAAAACGTCACATTACTTAAGTCGAAAGCCAAAATAAATCTCCAGGACAATTCAGTTAAACGCCTGAAGGTGGCCCTTAATTTCACATTTCTACTAACCAAGAAGTGGTTTGCGACCTCCTGAAGCAAACCCAAATATTTGAATTCGGTGATTAAGTTTTACCACTTCTAGACGAAATTTTAAATCAATTTAACTGCAAAGTTCAGAACTCAAGTGGCACTGTAAATGTGTGTGCATTTATAATGCACAACCTGCATTCTTTCTCCAGCAATCTGCATTCCATTTGTCTCATTGACCCTATTTCATTTTTCTTTCGCATCACTAAAACGGACGTAATGTACAGAAAAGCACAGACCTGAAATCCAGTGCCAACCGTGCCATCTGCTGATTATAGGACAGTGGGCAAGTGACCTCATATCCCCAGCCTGTTTACACTTCTCTAAAACTGATAGTAAAAGCTTTCTTTGCAGGGTTAGAGATGCCGTCACTGACTAAGCAAATAGTTACATTCTCACTTACCTGCAGAACAAATTGGATGGATAAAGAGCTGAGAAGTGAGAGATTCGCAGAGTGCCCACAAGTGGCAGCAACTAGCTGAGGGGCCTTCAGAAGATCGAAGCTTTCCCGACAGCCGTTGTAACAGGTAGAGATGTGCAAGGTTAAGTCCGACAATAGAATTTTTAAAACCTAAATTGCACTTCTTCTCAACCGCTGCCTACTCCATGGAGCCTTACCTGAGGACACGTTCTTGTCTGGTATTAGTGACATCATTAAATAGCATTCCCAATGGAGGTATATGATGGCTCCCTATACATGCCCAGAATAGTGATTCACAAAGTTGTGACATACACACATCACCCTATAGAAATTATCAAAGGCTGGGTGCAGTGGCTCATGCCTGTAATCCCAGCACTTTGGGAGGCCAAGGCGGGCGGATCACAAGGTCAAGAAATAGAAGCCGGGCGCGGTGGCTCAAGCCTGTAATCCCAGCACTTTGGGAGGCCGAGGCGGGTGGATCACGAGGTTGAGAGATCGAGACCAGCCTGGTCAACATGGTGAAACCCCGTCTCTACTAAAAATACAAAAAAATTAGCTGGGCATGGTGGCACGTGCCTGTAATCCCAGTGAGCCGAGATCCCGCCATTGCACTCCAGCCTGGGTAACAAGAGCGAAACTCCATCTCAAAAAAAAAAAAAAAAAAAAAAAAAAGAAATCGAGACCATCCTGGTCAACATGGTGAAACCCCGTCTCTACTACAAATACAAAACATTAGCTGGGCATTGTAGTGCGTGCCTGTAATCCCAGCTTCTCGGGAGGCTGAGGCAGGAGAATTGCCTGAACCCAGGAGGCGGAGGTTGCGGTGAGCCGAGATCGTGCCATTGCACTCCAGCCTGGGTAACAAGAGCGAAAACTCCGTCTCAAAAAAAAAAAAAAAAAAAGAAATTATCAAATTACTCTTTGGGTAATTTTTACTGTTTTGATCACTTTTGGTATGTATCCTTTTTACTCTAAAGGATAAAACTGGCAGATTTCTCTATATTTCATTAGAAGGAAAAGTCATTACCTTGTATATATGTGTTTTCATTTTTACCAATATCACATCTATTTGAACATTATTATTATTAATTTTTGAGATGGAGGCTCACTCTTGTCACCCAAGCTGGAGTGCAGTGGCGTGATCTCGGCTCACTACAACCTCTGCCTCTCGTGTTCAAGCAATTCTCCTGCCTCAGCCTTGTGAGTAGCCGGGATTTCAGGCGTGCACCATCACACCCAGCTAATTTTTGTATTTTTAGTAAAGACGGGGTTTCACCGTGTCGGTCAGACTCATCATCCACTCTCCTCAGCCTCCCAAAGTGCTGGGATCACAGGCTTGAGCCAACATGCCCAGCCCCACCTACCCCCGACCTTTTTTTTTTTTTTTTTTTTGAGACAGAGTCTTGTTCTGTTGCTCAGGCTGGAGTGCAGTGGTTTGATCTCAGCTCACTGCAATCTCTGCCTCCTGGGTTCAAGAGATTCTTGTGCCTCAGAGTCACAAGTAGCTGGAAGTACAGGTGCTCTCCACCACACCTGGCTAATTTTTAGTATAGATGGAGTTTCACTATGTTGGCCAGGCTGGTCTCCAACTCAACCTCAAGTGATCCATCCACCTCAGCCTCCCAAAGTGCTGGGATTACAGGCATGAGCCACCATGTCTGGCTTGAATATGTCTTTTAATACTTTTGCCAACTTTTCACTCAACTCTAAAGCACACAGCAGATGTTTCACGATGCCTCTCAAACAACACGAGCGTATATTCTCAGGAATTATTTACGGACACCCCTGACTTTCTATGTTCTTTATTGCTGCATAGCATTAAGACATGGTATTCAAATGCTGGTTAACACTGAGGTCATTAATATGACACATTGCATCCAACTTGCTGTTGGAATATCACATACAATTCTGGAACCATATTGTAACACACTGAAAATATCCAACAAGTAATCAGAATGGTGAATAAGGGACATTCACCCAAAGACATGTATCCAGGTACAGTATCGCAGAGACTGCTTCTTGTCAACCAATATCTATTTTCCCCTTTTCCTTGAAAAAAAAAGCCTCCAATTTTATCCTGGGCACAGGGATCTCCAAAATAAAAGACTGCATTTCCTGACCTCTCCGGAGCTAAATGTGGCTATATGACCAAGTTCTGGCCAAAGAACTTGGAAGTGTTCTGTGTGACTTCTGGGAATGTCCTTAAAAGGAAGGACATGATCTTCCTTACCCCTTCCTTCTGGCAGCATCTGGAGTGCAGATGTAATGCCTAGAGTTTGAGCAGACATCTTGCACCACAGTGTGGAAACCATGCAGTAGGACATGGGGACAGCAAAAGAGAATAGTTCTGGGTCCCTGATGACTCGTGAAACCTCTACCGGCTTTAGAATGACACCTCTGGACCTGTGGAACATAAGAAACAAAATCAGTAAGCTACCCTTATTTAAAATGTTCTCATTTTCAGCAGAACCAAATCCTAGTCACTACAAATGAGTAAAGGAACTGAGCCCGTTTCGCTTGGAGTAGCCTGGGGGTTTAAGGCATGGGACCAGTCTTGGACATCTCTGAAAAGCTAACACCTGCGAATGTCAGTGCACACGTTAGGTGATGTTTTTGAAGGCAAAAGCAAGTTGGAGAGAGATTTTGGATCAGTATAAGAAAAGCTTTCTGCCAGGTGCAGTGGCTCACACTGGTAATTCCAGCACTTTGGGAGGCCAAGGCAGGCAGATCACCTGAGGTCAGGAGTTCGAGACGAGCCTGGCCAACATAGTGACCCCTGTCTCTGCTAAAAATACAAAAATTAGCCGGGCGCAGTGGCTCACACCTGTAATCCCAGAACTTTGGGAGGCCGAGGCGGGTGGATCACGAGGTCAAGAGATCGAGACCATCCTGGTCAACACGGTGAAACCCCATCTCTACTAAAAATACAAAAAATTAGCTGGGCATGGTGGCGTTTGCCTGTAATCCCAGCTACTCAGGAGGCTGAGGCAGGAGAATTGCCTGAACCCAGGAGGTGGAGGTTGCGGTGAGCCAAGATCGCGCCATTGCACTCCAGCCTGGGTAACAAAAGCAAAACTCCGTCTCGAAAAAAATATATATATATACAAAAATTACTCAGGCATGGCAATGGATGCCTATAATCCCAGCTACTTGGGAGGCTGAGGCAGGAGAATCACTTGAACCCGGGAAGTGGACATGGAGGTTGCAGTGAGCTGAGGTCATGACACGGCACTCCAGCCTGGTGACAGGGTGAGACTCTGTCTTAAAAAAAAAAAAAAAAAAAAAAAAAAAAAAAAATTCCAAATTTGATAATTATGTGGTGGTTACTATTAAAAACAAAACAAACAAACAAACAAACAAAAAAAAAAAAACTTTGTTCATAGAGATGCCCACTCACACATTTAGGGTAAGGGATCACAATGTTTGCAGCTTAATTCTGAAATGCTTCAGTCAAACAATTAATTGTACAGAAAGAGTGAAAGCAAGATATACCAGAATTTGTGAAAGGAAAATATTTTGGGCCCCCAAAATCACTAAGGAAAACTCAAGCTGGCAACTGCTTAGGGCAAACCTGCCTACAATTTTCTTCAGTCACTCCTCTGCTCACTGAGATAGATGCATATCTGATTTGCCTCATTTGGAAAGGTAGAAACTCAAAAATCAGAAACTCAAAAGAAGATGGTTAACCCTTTTGTGTATCACCTGTCTGTGACCTGGAAGCTCCTGCCAAGCTTAGAGCCTTCCTGACTTTGCTTCAAGTTGTCCTGCCTTTCCAGGCCAAACCAATGTACTTCTTCCATATATTCATTGAGGTCTCATGTCTCCCTAAATGTGTAAAACCAAGCTGTGCCCCAACCACTTGGACACATGTCATCAGGGATTCCTGAGGCGGTGTCACGGGCGCCTCTTCAACCTTGGCAAAATAAACTTTCTAAATTAACTGAGACCAG